TGTTCAGCTCCTGTCGGTCCCTCTTTGTGTGTATGAGGTCCATTGTGTTCAGCTCCTGTCGGTCCCTCTATATGTGTATGAGGTCCATTGTGTTCAGCTCTTATCGGCCACGCTGTGTGTATGAGGTCCATTGTGTTCAGCTCCTGTCGGTCCCTCTATGTGTGTATGAGGTCCACTGTGTTCAGCTCCTATCGGTCACTCTATATGTGTATGAGGTCCATTGTGTTCATCTCCTATCGGTCACTCTATGTGTGTATGAGGTACACTGTGCTCAGCTCCTATTGGTCACTCTATGTGTGTATGAGGTCCATTGTGTTCAGCGCCTATCGGTCACTCTATGTGTGTATGAGGTGCACTGTGCTCAGCTCCTATCGGTCACTCTATGTGTGATGAGGTACACTGTGCTCAGCTCCTATTGGTCACTCTATGTGTGTATGAGGTCCATTGTGTTCATCTCCTATCGGTCACTCTATGTGTGTATGAGGTACACTGTGCTCAGCTCCTATTGGTCACTCTATGTGTGTATGAGGTCCATTGTGTTCAGCTACTATCGGTCACTCTATGTGTGTATGAGGTACACTGTGCTCAGCTCCTATTGGTCACTCTATGTGTGTATGAGATCCATTGTGCTCAGCTCCTATTGGTCACTCTATGTGTGTATGAGGTCCACTGTGTTCAGCTCCTATCGGTCACGCTATATGGATATGAGGTCCATTGTTTTCAACTCCTACCTGTCTACCGGTGTCTCTATGTGTGTATGAGGTCCAATATGTTCAGTTCATATTCGTCACCATAAATTTTTTTGAAAAGGTTCAACTAACAGTCCTAAGACATCATCAATTTAGCCAACATATCGGTTGCAGGGTTTATTGGAAAGGCCTATTAGCAACATATTAGACGAAAACATACCAAAAAACGTATTTGAGTAGTGATATACATGAAGTGTGTTAACATCGCCTGATGGTTCTGATGAAAAAAAATTGTCCCTCGTCTATAGATAATCTAGACTCTTCGCCCTAATACAAAACAAATGAGCAAATTGAAAGTATGATCTATCCACTCAGCAGCATAGGTTTTATCACTGTTTATTGAAATCTAATCGGGCCGAGAGAGGTTTTGATGAAGACTAATCACTGTTATCTTGAACGCCTTCTAAAATTAATCTGGACTGACATCGCAGAATTGCTTATCCAAGATATCTCACTGTTATAACGTTATGGAATTCTGCCATTGGAAACACATTCGTACATGATTTGCACTGAATCCTTTGTCGTTTGTATATTACTAGATAAATAAGGGTTGTGGATCAGGAGATTTGGGATATAGCTTTTTATCCCATACTTGGACGTGTTACGGGTACATAAAGCCGGTGTGAAAGTTTATACGGTCTCCTATTTTGAAAGTCCGATAGACTCTAACTCCTGGGTTTACAAGTCCTGGACTTTAAAATCTAGAATCTATATTCCCTCGGACTTCTAAACCTTAGTAATGAACGTCTTGGTTATGGGATTTATTGTCTCTTGTGGACTTGTAAACCTAGATTTAATTATCCATAAGATTTCAACCGGACTATCACACCTAAGATTTATAGTCTGGATATGCTACAGTTATCTTTAGGCCTGCGTCGCAAAAACAAATAAACTAACAAACAAACAAATTACTAGTATGTCACATTACACTTTTATTTGCGAATTGTTACGTCAGTTTCGTTTTTCGACGTCAGACGTACAGTATGCACTCTTACAATTATATACTAATAATGATTACATCATTATTCGAGAGTTATTGGTGAAACTGTTTTAAGTTACAGCCATTTACGGATTTTTTAAAAATTTGTCCTTTTTTATTTTTAATCTTGTAGATCCCTGCCCTCTCCACCCCTGCAATTTCGAAGGGGCCAGTCCACGGCTCCTCCGTCTTGCCCCCTTTCTGTCTTGTCTTCTTAAGTTGCGCATCAATACTAATGAACCTACTGCCAAATCCTGTAAAGTTATTACATTTATTTACTTCTTCTCTACGATTACCATTACATACCATTACATATTTTATCAATTAATGTATTATTATTTCAAGCACTTATTAGGAGGTTTTCAATTATGTCCGTTATCAGTAGTTGCAAATCATATCGTGGAAGTCGATAAAATGTAAACATTGTTTTGGACCTCCTGTATGTGCACAAAAGTGAAATAGCTTTCAGTACCTTTTGTGGATTTCTTCTTTTGTCGTAATTGTTCTTCTGGCGATCTTGTGCTGTTTTGATGTTTGACAACACTTTAACCCCGATTGCATTCATTTTCTCCAGTTTTTGGTTTGTTGAAAGAACGACATCATGGTCAGAATCTTCCTCAGAATCATCAAGATCTTCATCACTATCGTGCTGCACTTCACTGGGCAGTGTTGCTTCTCTGTATTAAGGCGTCAAAAAGATTCGATATTAAATTTACAATTAATAACAGTAAGTTATTGAAGTGATAAGAATCTGTTACTGAAGCCGAACTCCGTTCAAAAAGATGAAGCCTATAACAATATTATAGTTATGCATATTAACCAAGGTGAATAAATGTATTCCATTAAGACACAACAGAGTTACCTTAATAAAAATGTATCCACATTTACAATGATGAATTGGTTATATGTGTAATTTCGGACGATTTAACCTGGGGCAAAAAGTCCAGGACATAAAAAATGATATTGACAAGGTCCACGTGGTTGTTTTTGGATGTTGTAATCTGAGGGGAAAGTCCAGGACTACTAAAATGGATATAAACAAGGATAGATTGTCCATGTGTATGTTTTCGGACGTCGTAACCCGAGGGAAAAGTCTCGAGGACTACATTTGTGAACATATTTCAGGAGGAAGTGTCCTCATTGTGTGGCGTCGGACGTTATTATCTGGGTACGATTGACTTTATAATGTGAATAAATTAACATTACCTTGAATTTTGTTGTCGAAGCTCTTCTTATAGCCCTCTTTCCATTCACTGTTGTTGGTTGTACCTGGCGGATACGATTTTTGCCTGACATATTGATAAATAACATTTATGTCCAGTTGTGTTTTCATCTTGGCATCCACTTTTCAAAGGAATAACATATACCACGTGCAACAATTTATACCCAGGTTGGCCACGCTTAACTAAACATCTGAGTTTTTTAAATATGACATTTTCTTTAAAAAAAGCGGTGTTGGGATACTTAAAAAAGTGTTTAACTGTATTGAGATTAAAAAAAAAAGTTGACTCACATAGGGATCGAACCACCATTCTCTCGGCCACTGGACCAAGTCGTAATTGATTTTGCCAAGAAAGGTGAGACGAACAGACTCAACTTTCATTTATATTTATGCATAACTCTTTTAATATATGTAAAATGACGGTCTCTTTGACCTAGATATAAAAGTCCGGGACAATAAAATTGGGATTAAATGTCCGGGACATTTCATTCTTTCACTGGTGTGGAAGGAACAGAAGTCCATTGGTGATTATAGTCCATGGTCTTATTAATATATAACAGTAGGAATGACAGTCCTATTGAGACCATAAACCCTGGGATTGACAATCCATAGGATGTATAAACCCAGGAAGCACGGTCCGTAGGACCGTGCTTCCTTGGGACTACCATTACTTTTACACCGGTTTGTAAAAACTTGTATCTCATACTTGAGTGGGTTTGGGGTAGATATCACCCGGGAATATATATCGTATCTGAGGAGCGGGCAGGATATATTGTATATGTCCCGCTCCAGGCCAAATGCGGGCAGATATAATATATCCATCCCGCTCCCGGGAATTTTTCAAAAGTTTAAATATCATAAGTTTTAATTTTTTAATTTTAAAATTTAATTTTTTTTAAGTTTAAATGTTACAATTTCATTGTATTGAACAAAAAGAATATTACAAAAATGTTCAGTTCAGAAAATGTTAAATATAAATATCTTGTCATTTGAAAAAGGTGGAAAGGGTAATATCTACCCTAAACCCACTCAAGTATGAGATACACGAGTTATGCACGGTCGGTTTGGATACATGGAATATCCCTTGGGATATACAATACATCTTCCGAAGATATATTGTATATCCCTCGGGATATTCCCTGTATCCAAAACCTCCCAGTGCATAACCCCTATATATTTTCATCAGCGGGCAGATATAGCTTTACGGCCCGCTCTGAGCGGGGAGATATAGTATATCTGCCCGCTACGTCATAATCGCTGTTCCCGTATTGGTTCTTTTTTGTAACGTTCGCATACTGTAAACGACAATGGAGAAAAACGCAGACAATCGCGATCTGTTTGATGCTTTAAAGAAGGGAAGGAGCAGTATGCCCCGTTAATAATCAAATATTTGAACAGGAAATTCCGGCTACGGACAAGAATATAAAACTGGACATGAATATTTTAAAATAATTCCACGGTTGGTTGCAACAATTGAACAATGTGATTGGTATTGGATAAACAGATCATCCTATAGTCGGTTCAGGATATTGGGATTATCCCTTGGCCAATATAATATATCTTCCCTCGGGACCTACGGCCCTCGGGCAGATATACTATATTGGCCTCGGGATAATCCCAATATCCTGAACCTCATATAGGATAATCTCTATTTATCCCAAGGGATAGTTTCTATTTTCTCGATGGAACCAGGGGAGATATAGGTATTTCTCGAGGGATAAACCATATACCCAAAGCCCATTATGTAATTAAAGGGTTGCAAGGAATTTCTCAACAGGGTTCGATTTTAATCAGTTTGCTTACTCATCACGTTCATCATCGTTATACGTCCCCTTACCTAAAGTTGCCCACACGTTGATAAACAAATTTGAGATTTTTCGGGTGAAGAGAAATTGTCTCGCAATACAATACTCACAACTGCACGAAAATGAAAGCCAAATGAATAGATGGTATGAATGGTAATATCTACCCGTTCCCTGGTTCGATCACTATACACGATAGGAAGTGATCCACTCGGCAATAACAAAACAAAGGCGATAGTTACAAAATTACCAAATGTGTTTATATTTACAATTTTTGAATGGTTCATGATTGTATTAATTTATGAAACAGTATTTCAAATAAACGAAACATAAATCCTTGTCTAGATCCCTGTCGTGTGACGTCTAGCCATCGCTGAATTATTTTAAGGACCGTTCATTTTTCATTTATATTGAGAATTGTTGTTGCTCTCCGCTCAACGCTAACAAAATCGGTTTATAAGTTTTCATTATGCTTCCAGAACAGCTAAATTGGAACTTCTGTTCTTGTCTAATATTATCGAAGGGTCACCAATCAATTCAATTTACAAGAAATTGTATCGATCAGTGGCAGTAGTTGTGTTATCCAGTAGTTTCTCTATCTTGTAATTGCGAAATGTGTTCACGTTGCTTTGTTTATCGTTTCTTGACTTGTCTTGATTGTTGTTTTGAAGGGCGGTTCCAAATTAGGCATCCGTTGTGTCCACGTGGTTTTGGAGATTATTTTCGACACATTTTTCCTTTAGCTCAAAATTGCTGTTTTCCATCGCTCGAACTTTATCAAAATCCTTATCGTCTAATTTTCGCTTCGCTCGGTAACACCAGACCATGGCGGCAATTTGGAAGAGTGTCATTGCGAACATCACGATCCCGACAACGAGCGCTTCTTTCTCTCCATTGGGAGATGTCACTTGCCATATCAAAAGTCCTGCACCCACGAGGAGAAACACTATCGCTGGTAACGACAAATATATCAACTGTTTCTGCCAGCTCATACCGGTGCCTGTCATTTTTATTTAGTGGGACCTTTAGTCTTTACACTATCTGCGAGGCAGGAAACTCCGATTTTTACAATCTATAGGCCAGAACGTACCCCTAAAAAGAACAAATGAAACATGTGATGATATAATTAGAAAATCGTGTCTGATAACTTCTTCGTCACGTTTACGACTGAGTTTACTCACCGAATGCATCTATAGATATCATATATTGTTATGATATAAATTCCATATTCCTTAACTCCAAACAAACTGAACAAATCGATAATGATGAGCAACAAAATAATGTTTCCGAACGTTCAGTTTGGCAGTTTGGCAGTTTACTAATATCCGGTTACTTTGGTTCTAAGATTGTAGGTAATGAATACAAGCAGCAAATGTTTGCAGCATCCTGTCAGTCTAGAGTCCAGAATGTTAGCTTTAACATTTAAACACAAAGTCACGCTAGAAATTACCATTAACATCAGCCGTGCCACAGGTATGTCTGACAAGATATCAGTTTACTTTGAAACATGCACGATCCATAGCTTATTCCCGACAGTGGCGGACTTAGGAATTGAATAGAATGGATTTTTTCGAAGAGGGAATTTTTAATCTATTAATTCGGTCCAGTTTTCCAAAATGTAATCGGATTTAAAATTTTGAAACTCATTTTTATTGGGCATGTAGCAGTTATGCAAGCTACAGAATTCGCATTCATAAATTTACTTTTGAAATATTACTCGATCGTATGTGAGATTCTAAAACATATACATGGGATGTACAATGGGACTTCTGCTTTAGTAACGAAATACACCGAGGCTCGAGGATTTCATATATTTGGATAGCTGAAATGGTATAAGCCGTGTGCTCTAAATAAGATTGGAATCTGAACACTGGGAACATCTGGCATCACACCAGGATTTTAATAAATCACTTGCACTGCTGTCGATCTAGCAATGCTTCTTCATAAGAATAGAATGAGGCATTTTCTCATTTATCTACAGTAAAATATTAAGTGCTAATACTAAAAGATAAGCAATCAAGGACCGTGCAGTATTATATCAAAAAATTTTATATGCGATAATGCTATGGCCATATTGAAATTTAGGTTTCACAATGTTGATTTTGAGGCTTCGAGAATAACCACTCAGGCCACGTATTCCTTTCATTATAACGAATTTTATGTTACATGACTATATGTTTTTATTCCGCTATTTAATATACGCTCTACCATGAGTATTTGGTATCAAATTAAACGTCTCTTAATCCTGCAAATTATCATTTAGTTTTTATCTCAGGGTTATAAAAGCTGAACGCATTATCAATCGTCGAACATTCCAAACTATCATTTTTTGCCTTGTAACCGATCACCCTTATGTTAATTGACAGTAACTTTTTTATATTCTGGAACGTATTTTGTTATGATAATTGACAATTTCATCATAAAGACTGCATCTTGTCGATTGTACGTTAGCTGGAATTAATTTATTTGCTATTTTACTATTGGAAAATCGACATTAAGTATGTGTAGCCCTCGAAGGCACCATCATCGACACCATGCTTGAAATCAACGATGTGGAGAAGCCTCTGCACTATTCATGATAATCCCCCATTCACTTCACTTGAAATATAAATTGCCTTATTAACGGATGTAAAACATTTTCAAAATACATTTGAATATAACATATTTAGCTTGTTACGTATTTTTCGACGTAAAGTACTATTTTTCAAAATCATCATCGACTCCACAAGTACGTTGTCTTTGCACTCTGCTTTCAATCAAAATCAGGTTTCAATGTTAAGTAATGGTGTTGACGGTTTGTCTCAATATATATTGATAATATAAAAATACGCTTTATTGATGTTATTCTTTGACCACGTAAAGATTGAGATATTTACGACCATCAACGACTCCACCACATACGACTCCAAAATACTATCCACATATTAAGTAGGTCACATGTATAATCGAATGCTATATATTTGTTGAATTAACCTACATTCATTAAATGACTATTTTGTTGTATGTGTAGCATTTTACAGTGATACCGAGCTAAGGATTTAGAGCATATTGTTCATTGTGATTACAACGTATAGTGATAAGTAAAATTGAATCTATTAAGCAGACCATGTTATTTACTTATGATGCATATTCTGTTTGTTTTAAAATGCTAGGGTAATGTGACACAAGAATTGGGATGATTGAGCAGCTCATAGTTTTATAAAATCACTGACAAATATAGATGCACATTCCCCGATATTTCTTAATTTATAAACGTTTCGTTCAGTGTACCACTAGACGAAATGTATTTCTTGCCATTATTGTAAAACAATAAATATTTCATTGGGATAATCAGTTTTGTGACATTTTATTAATGTGCATAACTTCCCACACTCTCATTAACATATTTGTCTTACTTATCAGACCTTTCTGATGATATAAGAATATGGCACTCACCAACGCCGAGAAGTGTCGTCGTTCCCTAAGACTACAGTACAGGGAGAGAAAGAAAGAAAAGATACCAAAGGCTACTAAGAGCAAGAACGATTGCGACAGCGAGCATCGTATACACCGAGAAATAACCTGTCTGCTGAAGCTCTTCAACGGATCAGAGAAAAGAACGACAAGGCATCCCGGGAATACAGGGCACGCATACGCCAAGTGTATAGAGAAACAATCAAAACACGCCAGACTGAAGGGAACGCTCAGAGTCTCAAAGTGAAACTGCCAGGACACAAATGAAAATCCAAGAAATCCCAGAACGCATTATTAAAACATTGAAGATAGGGCGACTGGACTTAAACCAGTACAAGGTACATGTACCTTTCGAATCAATGCTGTGAGAGGGGTTTCCGATAATATTGTTGAAACGCGAGAATTATCGTGCTTTTGTAACGCATGCAGAACAGATACGTCATCCTCACCCTGTGGTTGGCAAAGGAACAACCTTATAACCGTTAGGAAGACCGAGCAGGCAGCTAAGGTGGTCACCGAGCAACCTTTAAAACCAAAACGGACCACACGACGAGCACACCCGACACCCAGTACGTCAAGTAAAGCATCGACGCCCTCCGACGTTTCCACTCTTTCAACCACATTGAAGCGTCGGCCTTTGGTAACCCCATCAACAAGTTCAAAGTCTTTAGACACAATGGTTTCCGCGAAGAAAAGGAAAGGCCCGATAAAAAGAACAGACACTGTAAATATTTGCAAGGCATGCGGTGTTAACTATTATTCGTATTTACAATCGCAGTTCGAATGGATCAAGTGCTCTAAATGCCCCGACTGGTTTCATGATTCCGGGAAATGTTCTCGTGTAAAGGGGATACTCATTGGAGAAATATTTACATGCTTTAATTGCAATAAAAGACGACCTTAAATGTGTAAATTATGTACGTTATTGTTTAAAAACCTAAGCGACCATCAGCGACACTGTTAAATAACACTTAATATCACAAGGAGGAGTGATTGACCTATTCGGAACAATGTTGTATTTTGATGTAAGAAGACATGTGTGTCTAATTTGTACATTCATTTTGTCGATCGAGGAATTGACTTGGCATATTATTTAGCTTAGAAAACAAAATCTTGAAATTAATTATCTTTAGGGAAACTCAAAACAATGTATTTCAACGATTATCTTAATAAAATTCTCTTGTTAAGATAAACAACAACTATTGCAATTTATTTTTATTCATGTGATTAAATATTTCAAACTTGATACATTAGTTTATCTTTAAACTCAAAATTAATTGTGAAACATGAATCAATGTAAGCCTGTGTATACACCATCATCGACACCAGCAATTTAAGAGTATATTTACGTTTTGATGCACAATCAAGTAATTGTTTAAAGGGTAATAAAAATATTTTGAGAAACGCTTCTTAAACCCCATGGCTAATGGTATATGCATTTATATCTCAATCTAAAATTTCATTTTTTCAACTTTTACATTGATCAAATGTGAAAGAGATTCGTGGCTTGACTGTAACATGGCAGAAAAAAGCATCAAAATGACACACACATATACGGGCTTGAAATAGCCTTAAAATAAGTATCCAAACGTTAGATAAAAATGATCGAAAATAATTAAATTGAACGGGGGGAGGGAGGGTGAACTGAGGGGGGGGGGGAGTAATATGCCTTTTAGGTGGAAGAACTTTCCGCGAAATTGTGTATTTGTATTGTAAAATAAACTCAGTAACTCAGTATCAACTGGATGGTACAACTCTGAAAAGTGAATAATAAGGACATATAGAGTTATTTGAAATAAAGTCAAGTTACATCTCTTATCATATGTCTTATAGACACATTACTCCCTCCTCCGTTCACCCCTCCCCCCTCCGTTCAATTTTAATTATTCTCGAATAGTTTTTAAATAACGTATGGTAACGTGATTTACAAAACCAACGATGACAATAGCAGAATACTTTTGTCATAATAACTTCACTTACAAGTATTTAGAACATGTCGCGTAGACCATAGGTTCTGGGCCGATATAAAGATGGCAGCACCAATCCAGTATTATCCTTTCTCTACTGTTGCTTGATTTATAGCAAAAACATTGGCATTTGCACGTTGGCGACATTGCGCCTTTTTACATAGATCTTTCATCTCAGAAGTCCATCAGTTAAAAAATCCTAGAAGACCTAACATTTCCCGTGTACTGACCCTATTCATTTAGCAATTCAGTTGTAAACCTTCTCTTGAAAAAATAAATCTCCCAAGGTTTGTTGAATTTTTTACCGGAAATCAGTTACTCCCTCTCCGTTCATTTCTTCCGATCACCGGGTGTGTTTACGTACATTTTATGGAAATAGCCGCATACAGTGCTGATATATAATAATTAAGGGTGCGTTTTCAAACTAAACAGAGTGCTCCTACCAAAATAAATTTGCCTACATACCCCTGAGACTCTTATCTGATAGATAGAATGCACAAATAAAACAAAAGTTTTGCTATTATACAGGGTGGGCCAAAAAAAACCACCCCCTTAGCCATTATTCCTGATAAATATTTATTTTTTAACATGTACACCAACAATGATATATCATTTTAAAGATAATTTAATTTGCTACAAAATGATATATAATAGCACCATTTTCAACAACCCCATATAGAAATATAACCAATTATGTGACATGGGGGTCAAAAAACACCTTTTCAATTTTCATCGATTTTGCGAACAATAGCCTATTTCCACCAAATTTTACTGTCCAGTTAAAAATTGCAACATTGACATGAGTCTTTCATAATTGGATATTATATGTTGTTTTCATTCAGTTTTTGAACCACGCATGCCCAATAAACATGTGTATGCTTATAAAACAAATTAATTTCTTCTCCAGTCTGTCCAAATATGGCTCAATAGACCCATCCCCGGGACCCATCCTCTGATCAGATTATTTGCTTAAGACGCAGAAGCCATTGGTTGATGGCATAATTGATGAATGTATGCGGAAGTACCATTCAACTGCTAGTTATTCTTTCTTTTAGTTCCTCTACATCCCTGATAGGCTGGGTATCTTTAAATACCAATTGTTCTAGATGCCCCCGGGTATGGTAATCAACATTATTGGCATCCGGACTGTCAGTAAGCCATTTGTCCAGGCTGGAGATGGTGCCATTTCGAATCTCCAAAAACTCCAGGGTAGCATTGGACCTGTGTGATGAAGCACTTTCCTATCCTTTCACATGTTTTTTATATCCTTGAGGAGTCCTTTTTAACACCTCATGTCATTAACACTCGGGAGTATATTTTTGCTCCTGATTCAACAAAAACAGGGCCTGTACGGTCTTTCCTTTCTGGGAAACAATGAGTGGACACCACTGCCGTTTCAGAAAAATGTCCTCTCGATTTGAGTAGCCTTTTATCGCAAATGTCCCTATTCTTGCTAACTGATATATAGAGTCTATCCTGTTGATTACATGTATAGTACTTGGGGCATTTAGAACAGTTGGTCTATGAAGATCACTAGCCTATCAGGGATGTAGACAAACTGAAAGAATGAATAATTAGGAGTTTGATGGTACTTCGGCAGAGAGCCATCAATTATACCAATGGCTTTCGCGTCTTTAGCGAATAATCCGGTCAGAGGATGGCTCCGGGGGGTTGGTCTATTGAGCCATATTTGGACAGACTGAAGAAGAAATTAATTTGTTTTATAAGCATACACATGTTTATTGGGCATGCGTGGTTCAAAAACTGAATGAAAACAACATATAATATCCAATTATGAAAGACTCATGACAATGTTGCAGGACAGTAAAATTTGGTAAAAATAGGCTATTTTTCGCAAAATCGATGAAAATTGAAAAGGTGTTTTTTGACCCCCATGTCACATGAATGGTTATATCTCGAGCCAGGGTTGTTGAAAATTGTTCTATCATATATCATTTTGTTGCAAATTAAATTATCTTTAAAATGATTTATCATTGTTGGGGTACATGTTAAAAAATGAATATTTATCAGGAATATCAGCTAGGGGGGTGGTTTTTTTTGGCCCACCCTGTAGGTAAAAAGTTCTCTTGAAATTACGAAGTGATTTTACCTGTTAATTCTGTTCATGGTCCGCCATTTTTGCGGAAGTTACACTGAAACGCAAACTCCATGAAACGAAACGAAATCACTAGAAAAAACATGGCATACATTGTGCGCATGTGCAGCAAAGTTTTAACCAATCAGATTATTTGATTATTTTGCGCACATGAATTATTTGCTTCTGAGCACTTACAAGCTTACCACAATAAACAAACCTGGCAGAGACTACCCTGAGCCTACTTCATTTTGGCGAAATTTCAGCTCAAACTCGTGACAAATGAACTATGCATACGCTGGTGTGAAGCCTTGGAGACACTCATTTTTGTATATATGATTTATGGTGTATACTTTTCTGCAGTTTGTGTGAGTTTGGGACATTAAATGTTAAAATTCAAGAAAATATGGCAATAAAACGACTAATCAATTAATATATACCAGCACTGTAGGTAGATGCCGGTAAGATTTTTTATAGTAGGATCAGAGGCTCAATAAATATATTATTTATATCTATATTTTTATTGACCTTCCGACACTACTATAAAACGATCTGGCCGGCGCCTTTGGAAATAGCTACTACGTAGAGAAGAAAACAAAGAAACAAGTAAATCGTACTTACAATTGTCTCATCCATATACTTGTATTATTGCATCATAAAGCCTACAAAAAAGATTTAGATGATCCTAATCCGTCGCTTCAATCCACATAAGGCTTTTCACGCCTAAAATGCACAATCGCAGTATGTGCACTCGAAAGCTTACTGAGTGCATTTATTTGTGCTATTGACTCAGATATTCATTCAACTGTGGTATAGTTGAAACGAGCTTACAAAAGGCACAGCGTTTACATTCAAATCTTCTTTCATTATTTTTGCTTTGTTACAGTTTCATTCACGTGACGTCATGCATGATGGAAAATATCAATGATACCAGACATGCCAGATGTGCCATGAATCCTGATAATAGAGTCCCGTTTGGTCCCACTCTCAAAGTCCCATCGAATCGTGTCTAAAGCAGACCGGTGAACGTGGAAAGAACGAATATAATTCATTTCGTTATCCATGTTACATCATAGACATTAGGCTTACAATTTGAGTTATCAGTCGATCATTTTCTTCATGAACAAAGATGGCAGTCTTGAATTCAGCGGCCATCTCAGTGGATTTTAACATTTTAACATTTCCTTACATATAACATTTGAATTAAACCCTCCGATGGATCGGAGCAAATGTGACCCAAGCATTAGGCATCAGCATAAAATCATATCTAACAACTCACTGGGTTATCAAAAACTAATTTTCAAAATCGTGAAATAACATTACAATGGCAAATAATAAAACTTCATCACTTTATTCTCACCGTTTATCCTGCACTGTACAAGGCTAGTATAGGCGATATCAAATTATCTTTATCAGATCAAATAAATATTCTAACATTTCAGTATATACAATCAACTGAACGAACGAACGTGGCACAAATTATTGTGACTAGTATTGACAATAGTTAATGAACAATAACTAATTTTCCATAGTTTCCTAGTGTGGCACCAAGTCCTTTGTCTCATCAAGTTATGCCTCAGTCACATTTGATCTACGGCAACCATACGGCAGCCTTATACCTTCCCAAACTCGAGAGTAATATGCAGCATGGAAAATAGGAATAAGCAGTATGGTGTCGATTTTTTATATCGATTTTGTGAAGCTATGGTTGCCGTACGGCCGCCGTAGAACAGATGTGGCTGAGGCTTTGTGTGCTCTGGGTTGTAAACAGTTCACTGGATGGGCCTGCAAGCGACAGTACTGAAGTCGAGGGAATCATTTTCAGTATGATCAAGAGGTCAGATTAATTTTTGATATGCTGAGTTTTCAAGATCTTGTCTGTCCATCTTGATAAATAACCTTGGGATGACCATATTGAAGTATAACTGGATGCTTCTCATTTAGCTCGTCGGCTGAATATCAGGAAGAGTGAGCAATTCTCAAGCCCTTGTTCAGATGTTAAAATTAAACTTTACGTACGATATTATTCATCATACACCCCTTTAGACATACTGATTGTATTCCTCAAGGGTGCGATTATGTCCGATCAGTCTCCAGGCCATGTATTTCTTAGCGGACGCTTTCACCATTCGCCGAATAATTAATAACTATAAAGATTTAAAAACTGGTCTAAGCATAGTTGGTTCACTTCGATGTTTATATTTGATTTTGAAAAAATTCCAGTTCTTCCGACTGTAAGACAAAACCACAGAAGATTAAACAGTTAGGGCTCATTTACGTGTAGACGTGCACCTTGATCATGTCTTCCCGGCCAAGTGAACGTTGGTGAACAATTGTTTCCTGGCCCATGACCCCAGAACCCACTGAAGATAATAACCAAATTGTCGGATTGTACTTCAGTTTGACTACTACTATCTGTTATGCAACGTGTGTTTCTAGGAGTCACAGTATGACAGGTCCCTAGAGATAGATCATGTAGGTATGGTAGACTGGGACGGATTCCTAAAGTGCGTAGACAAGGGGCGTTGGATCTTCTTCAATATTTTTTTCGGTATGCTCTTTTGGTAACCTGCAAAACACAAGTGTACACAAGCTACTCTCGGATAACAATTACATTTCGTACGATAGCACAGGATAATGCGATTCAACTTTTATCTCCGAGCGGGTGGGGTAATAAAGTACTATCTAGTATTCATTTTGGCCTATGGTTTGTCGAAAACATGGCAGTACAGAGGGACGTCAATGTCATGGACCATGGGAATCTCTTGTTATAGCATCACTCCGTCGTTACAAGGAGATGTGATAAATATCAGAATGACATGTGACACTATGCAAGAATTCATTAAGGCATAGAGTTAGATCAAAGCCACGGTTGGTTGAACATGGATGGCCATAAGTAAGAACTTACCTCCATTTCCTAAAGTGCCATATTAATAGGGCACCTGTGAGTAAGATGACAAAGCCTAAGAAGCCTAATATCACGAGACTAGGACCATGCTGCAGTAGAAATACTTCATTGTCTGATGATTCAAGATTAGGTAATACCGTGTACACTGTTTCCATGCCCGATTGCATGTGTTTGTTAACGTGACAATGTAACAGCCAAGTCCCTATCTCATTTGGGGACATCTCAACATTTTCGTATATCCCGGGGAAGATGTCTACGACGTCCGCTCTGTGCGAATGGTGGGTGCGATGGATCACTGTTTGACCGTGGAAGTGCACTGTGTGGATGTCAACCTTGCCTCCCATTCCAATCAAGTACCACGCTACATGTTCCCCTTCCCTCATTTCGAGCCCAATATCGCTTTGGAAAACATATCCATTGATGGCTGAAAGTTAAATTGAGATTTGGAGATTTACCGGTAAGTAAGGGCATAGAAGTGAACACCCTGGAATTACTATATTTTCACATGTTTCACATAGACGAACAATAAGTCGTGTTTATAGCTGTTATAGCAGTTTGAATTAATTATAATCGTTGAGCTTGTGACCTGAAGACGAAGTTATGAGATGTTAGACATGTAAGATTTCCAAGTGCCTTCCCCGTAAATTAAAGGTAAACAAATGACCACTCACCGTACATCATATTACTGAGCCGGAAAGATGCGTCGCTCTTCTGAATCACTGCGCCCTCATCATTATTCAGTTTCTCAATATTGTCATCTATATACCAACTGAGATTCTCGTCAAATATGGTAAAAAGCAAGCCGAATTCTCTGTCCATATCGAGCCTGCCATCTTGCTTATTTAAAACGTTCTTTCTACAAATCACTATTGGTCCAATAAGACCACTATTTGTATCTCGAACTATATCGACCGCGGAGTAATACGCCCAGACAATGCAGTTAGGATCGGAGTGACCCGGTCCTGATCTGGCGGGAACACTCCAATGATATGTGTAAGTCCGCCCTGGGGCAACAGCTTCATCGCAATGTGGAGTTTCTCCATCCTTATAAGCAATTCCTTCACTGGATTTATCAAACATAACTCCATGTGGATGGATTGAATACGAACGTTGTTTTGCATTGTTCTTGAAAACAACATTTATTTTATCGCCCACTTCAGCTTTGATTACTGGGCCAAGAATTCCTAAATGGCGTTCAAGTTCGGATCGTTCTTTTCTATGCATGAATGAATCATCGGAATATTCAACAAATACTGCTTTTAAGTATTTAGATCCTATAGTGGTGTTACTACGAACTACAAACCGAGCCTTGGAACTGCAAACAAAAATCAACAAGGATAACATATAAGGATAAAATCCTCTCTTGGTGTCTGTCGAAAATCGAGGAATATGACAAAAACAGACAAAGGTCACGTACGATAAACATCCACAACAGGGTTTGCTAAACTGCCATAATCATAGTCATTGCATAGATGCGAGTAGAAATAATATTGATTTATGTCATTAAATATTCAAAGTGATGTCATATTTGAAATATACATGTAAAAGTACATCTAGAAATATGATTTTTAAAATTGTTTATCAACTTTGAAAGTGTAATTCTTTGGGAAAATGTGACTTTTAGTTCGGGGAGATTCCCCATAGACCCTATGTTATAAAATCACAAAAGGTGAAATATCTTTTCTTGTATTGGACAGATAATATTTTCTTTTACTGGACATATTTTAATTTGCATAACTATTAGAAACATAAAGTTGATATGAAAATACCTCATAATATTAAAGGGAACTTTCTACTACACCCGCCATGAAATCTGACCCGAATGAGCCACCCGATGGTGAAATTGTTTACTACCTACTCGCATCTGAGTTCTTGACAATTGTGATACTATATATCCGAACAGCTTTGGAAAATCCCGAATGACACTATAATCAATTCTTATATCTTTTTGCCTTGCAACGCAAGATGCTCTTAGATTGCAACATCTGAACTTTTGAGATTAATGTGGGCTTTTCCTGGCTTGAGAAGGTATGATATTCCATGATATTTTATATTTTGTCATCAAATACATGTACTTATACCTATCCATTTCATCCAATGGTTTACCGGTCACCACATCTTTGTTTATGGGAGCATAATCCCAAATCTCTTCCTCAGCAGCGATGAAATACGTTTTAGTAGCACCAACCATGTGACCATCCCCCTCAGAATTGGGAGCATCCTCTAGGGAACATTTCGACACTTCAAACATTGCACTTTCTCCGGCCAAAAAATGATCATTGCTTCTGCAGGCCACTGACCAAATTCCTGAAATTAAATGTGGATGAATTCAATTTGTGCACACACAGAACAATAACCTTCAGGACATACAATTCAGAAAGCACATTGTAAATCCGACTTGAAACAAATTAAATATCTTAAGGACAGGGTGCATGTTGGGAAATTTTCTGCATTCCTCAATTGAGTCACATGTTATTTTTCAAACATGAATAACTCCTTCCCCACATTGTCTACATCTTCCAAGTTTGCACAAAGAGTGCACTTCTGTGCCTAGAAAAGCCTTGTGAGAAGGTTTGTTTTGTAAAATGTATAAAAAATGAGAAAATTCAGTGAAAAAAATTCTGAAAATTTTCTGAATTTTCTTGTTTTTTATACACTTTATCACAACATTCTTCTCACAAGTCTTTTCTAGGCTCATAAGTGCACTCTTTGTGCAAAACTGGAAGATATAGACAATGAAGGGAAGGAGTGATTCTTGTTTGAAAAATAACATGTGACTCAATTGAGGAATGCAGAAAATTTCCCATCATGCACCCTGACCTTAAGTCATACAGACATTCAAGTCTCAACATTCAAGTAGCAAACGAGTACACACGATAATTCAGACGATTTTTTCTAAATGTAGGCCTATATTCCAAATCAAATGTTGGTGGAAGTTTTTTGGTGTGAGGTAGGCTATATATATTTATAAAATTAACCTCGTACATTACCTAGATTGTCCGGGTACATTATAATGGTGGAGAATGTGCCCGCTAGTTCCAACACAGAATCCTTTGTATTATGCCATCTCTGGAAAGTGTGTCCGCTGAAGTGGACAGCGTGCAAGTCCGCTTGGCTCCCCAATCCGATAATGTGCCAGCTGACGACATCGTCTAAGCACGTCCTTAAAAGGGGGAGGTTTCCATAACTGTATCCATTAATGGCTGAAAATAAATGTTTCCTTATTACTGTACTGCTTTAATAATAAACAATGCAAAGCATGTGAAATCATTCATGATAATCCACTCCATGGCCAACCCCTAATGCATCTAGTGAACTCATTGACCTCATCATAATTTTGCATTTGTATTATTTCCTTGTAACCTTCTATAATGCCCTCGGGCAATTGAAGGAATTAACATTATAATATTTTATGAAGAAATAAATACGAAATATTAAAAAAAATCCATGATAATTCTTAAACTGTGCGTTGAACTGTACGTGTACTACTTACAATGCATCTGATTAGCGGCTTTGAAGTTCTTGTCTTTAGCAATTCCAGGATTGGTAAAACGTTTGACATTATCATCTAAATACCATCCTATGTTCTCATTGGTCACACTAAACAACAAGATGAACTCGCTGTCTACTCCAATCTGTAATTGTAAACGTTAATGGTTGTTATTTATAATCACAGACGAGAATTGGTTTTAGTATGGTTATATTGGGTTTGTTTGGTTTTCATATTTTAACAGGATACATAAATTGCTACTAATGAAAGTGAATATTTATGCATACATGATAACAGGTTTCAAAAGAATAATTGAACTGATACGATTTCAGGTTACTTAGCACCTTAATATACCATTTACATTCGTTTGACTTCACTTCTTAAAAGAGAGCTTCGTCTTCTTCTTGTAGTTTAACTAGACTCTGCACGCAGCAGGGTAACCTTAATACTGCAATTACTCGATTACCTGTTTCCCGTGATTATCCAAAGAGCCCCGTTTACAAGTGAGCAAAGGTCCTACTAATCCCGAGTATATATCCTTCCGTTGATCAACGGCGGAGTGATATATCCAGGTGAGGCACTGTGGATCTTCTTTACTAGGCGCCTCATCTTCCGTCACTGTCCAAATGTAAGTAAATGTGTGCCCTGGTTGAACCTGATCACCGCCTTTACCACGAGCACCATCTTTATAAAGAGCACCTTCGTACATCTTACTGAATGAAACTCCTCGAGCATTGACGGAATAATTTCTCGATGCTTTATTTAGAAATGTTAGTTTTATAGTATCACCAACTTCGGCTCTTATTATTGGCCCTAGAAATCCCAAATGAGCCTCTTTGTCTGATCGTTGCACTTTGTTGGTAAATGTACTGTCTGTGTATTCCTTGTACAAAACCTTTTTGTATTTGCCGCCTATGAACTTCCCATCTCTTAGGAAATATTTCAATGAGCTGAAATATGAACATACATAAATTATGTCATTTAATTTTGGGCTTATTTGTGACCTTGATCGATGTGCAGGATCTAATAAGTTACTGCAATTATCATAAAAATCGAGCAAATATTGAGTACATTAAATCAGAAAATAGAGAAACAACACTTGAACAAAAGCAAATACAACGGAACAATAAAATAAACACCAATTACAAACATCCCTATGTTGCAAAACAACTTTTAATATTATGTTCAAAATAGAGGATCTGTATGAAAAAATCACATCAGTTAAATTCAATTAATAGAGCATGTCACGGTAGTTCTAAAGAAAACAAATGCCAAATAAAAAGGCACTACAAAAGAAGAACCACATAAAAATGATAGGCCTCTATACGAGGTGATTGGAAAAATGCAATGTTTTGCTATGTAACGGGGTCTTATTTTTTGTGGCTTTCACAGCCATTACTTTCAAGCAAACGTTGACCGAATCATGACATTACATGTACTTTTAATCAGATATAAATTATTAACATTCGTGTAGTATTTAAATATTGTACATTATCCCTCAGAGTCAAGGTTTGCCACTCGACTTTATCGTATGTTGAAGTAACAGTCATTCTAATTTCACTTTTACAATGGGTGATCATGACATGCCAATAATTCACTGTTCCTTATAAACATGTATTGTGCAACGATCATGGATTACTATACCATGGTCATGTTTTAATATGGATTCACAGATCTATAAAAAGTTGGTGTAACGAGAAACAGTATGGATGCAGTAACCAGGGGAATGCAGCAATTTAATATTATTTTCAGATAATTAAAGTCGTTCTCACCTTTTCGTTGTATTGAGGGATGTGCCATTAAACTTATTCCTACCAGATGGCGCATAATCCCACGTGACCTCCTCTGCAGCGATGAAATATTCTCTCGTATTTCCAGTATTGAGCATGTTACCATGGTGATGTTTGTGCATATTTATATCATCTGAGCCCTTTAGATCCTCCATGTGGATATGGGGTTCAACGTGGCCCCTGTGCATATGTTCCCCATCGTGTGATTCGGGGTGGTGTTTGAGGTAGATATCCTCACCGTCGCCATCCATCTTGTCATCATTTAGGTTAACATCCTTTTCAAACAAGTGTGTTTCTGCGTCGATGTTTATTTTGCTATTGTCTTGTGATGGACAATCGTTGATGTCAACATATGCTAACATTCCACCTACATACAGACACATAATGATAATCAATGAATTGAAATATAAATTCAAAATAGACTAGGCTTTCTCCTCATTTTATTAAAAATCATTTCAACTATATTCATCCACATATTTTTGTAAACGAGTAAAATGTATACGTTATCGCTTAATCGAACATTTTCTATATTTCGTAACTTACCAAAATAATGGCCGAGGAGATCGCACTCTATGAGCCATCTTCCTGTTTCCTTGGCTTGCATGAAACTCCTTGTCACTTTCCCAGGGTAAAGGGCCATAACGTCTGTCCTAATTTTGTAAAAAAGTATCAATTAGTCCATTAGGTGGACGCTTTTAAAAACAGGGGTCGAACTGTCGAATGACATTAGTTTAAAAACAAGACTTTTACAATGTAATACTTTGAGAATAAACTGCAACATGTGAAGGCCTATTGTACAATACCTGTGATTGTTGTACAGCAATGTCTGACCGTGGATGTAAGCCGTATGAAGGTCCGCCTCTGTTCCCAGTGTAAACATATTCCATCCTACTTTGTCTCCTCTACACACAGACAGCCCCGGTAGGTTCCCATACATGTACCCGTTGATGGAGTGCATTCGGTTACTCTTGAAAAACGCCTTGTCAGATTTCAATGATTTTAGATCAGCGTTGCAGAACTTTTTTATATTGTGATCTATGTACCAGCTTTCGTTCTCGTTGAATATTTTGAAGAGTAGGGTTCTGTCTTTGTATTTGTAGTCACTGTTGTTGTAGTATGTCCCTAAATGATATTACCAGCACGTGCAGTATAGGCTATTTTCAAAAATTTAGATAAATACAATAAGTTTCCTGGATTAGCGGCAGATTTGCTTTAACTGAAAAATCTCTGACTCAATTATGTCATTCTCAACCTACCTTTTCTACACGTCATAAGCGATCCGATCAGGCCGGAATTAGTGTCTCTCGGTGTATCAACATGGGAATGATATATCCAGGCTAGACAGTCCGGGTCCCCCGTAGAAGGAGCCTCTGATTCTCTGATTGACCAAATATAGGTATGGGTGGAATTAGGAAGGACGCCATCATCTAATTTATTTTTGCCTGTTGTCTTATCTTGATAGAATGCCCCTGTAAATCACACAAAGAACTGGTGCAAAGGGGAAATAATAATGAATAGGCTCACGGTTGTATTGTAGTATCCTCGTCTGAACGGAACCGTTTAATGGAGAGTCTAGAATTAGTCACATAATCAATTTTGCCAGTGAACATAAAATTTTACTTTAAAACACATCATAATAATTGGTATAAACATTTTGCTGATTCGAAAATTCAAAGTAAACGCATTTACTTTTCAACCAGTGGAACTTGACATATTACACTTTGTATCACCCGCTCGTTGATGGAGGTATTTTATTCGAGGGCCAATATCTTTGGATGGGGCAATTAATCATCCATTTTATAAACTGGATTTGTAGTTGTGTTACGTGTTGGATCAAAAGATTGTGATGAACATTTACCTTCAGAATCTTTTTTGTAGTTAACACCATGTGGATGCATGCTGAATGGCCTCGATGCCAAGTTTTTGTAATGAATCACGATTCGGTCGCCAACCTCTCCAACCATTGTAGGTCCCAAGACACCCGTGTATTCATCCCTTTCTTTCCTGGCGGTGAACGAATCGTCCTTAAATTCACGGTACAAGGCCTTCACATATCGGGAACCAATTCGCCTTGCATTGTGGGTAAAGTAATCCAGTGGTTTTCTGTAAAAGATTATGATCGATTTGACACAGCAGGTCTATCTCAGAGTTTTATATTTACCAATTCAAAAACAAAATAAATATGATATTGATATTGTTAGCTGTTTTTGTGAGTCATACAAAAAGTAATAAGGATAATGTTTAATTCAGTCTTTCGCACATAAGATTTCTCATCAAACTGAGATGACCCCCATGGTTTCTATGGAAATGTTTCCCTAGCGCCCATGAGGAACACCAAACTAGTGTTGCGGCTGGTACACTCCCATCCAAACGTTTGGAAACCCTTTAACTCATTGAACTACATGTCAAATGATACTCGCGTTTTAATTTTTCTCATTCAAAAACAATTAAAATGTGGATGTTTTATTTATGATTCTATGTATTTACATCATTTCCAGATCCTCAGATTTTTTGAATTATTCTGTCACTTTCAAAATATCGTATTTTCATGTCCCATTTTATTAACATTTGGAAATCGCCGTCTACGTAATATTCCAGTGTGAAATGGTTTGCCGCAAACAACATTACAAGATAAGATTAAAATAGACATGTATTAATCGAATCGATGTTTTGCAAATGTTTCTTTATGTAGGAAATTAAAGATTTTGAAATCATTTTTGCCTGTCGTGTTATCTCATTTAATGAGAGGGATATTTGAAAAATAAAGAACGAATGGCTATAGACATTCATGGGGTTACATTAACATTTTTTGAAAAATTCAATGTCGTTAATATCTTTGATATGTAGGATCAAATTGTAGATAAATATGTATATTTTCAAGAAATAGCAATAAAAAACATTCAAGATAACTGATATAAGTTTCTTTTGGTTGATTTGGGAGGTATGTATCACTTCCTGTGAAAATGTGAATATTTTATCAGTCTTAGAAAATGTCTCCAGAATATATAAACCCAACTTGGCAGATGTCACATTGTTTGATTGTGTCATTCTATACACTCATTGGATTAATATTTTGTACATATAAATAATCATATTTCAATAGTCATTGAGTAGGGATTAGCTATGTTTGCGATTGTGTTGACCTACTTATTTTTAGAGAGAAGAAGGTCATGAAAAACACCTGCTTTGTTCATATAACGCTTGGTTCTTACCTAGAAAGTTATATGTAGTAAGGGAATAGTGTACTTCTAAGGTACTTCTTGAGATATGTAAAATTCTAGGTAAGGACCAGGCGTTGTGCTAAAATGGAACTTTTATGCAATTTTCAGCATGAAATAAAATGATGTCAGCCATTTTGAAAATCCTTTGAATGATTGTGACAATTTTGGTTTATATATTCAAGTATATTTTCTTACTTCATATTATCATTTCATGAACTAATATTTATGCTTGCATTGAAGCATGACCTCTAGAGAAGCATATATTTTATCATGGCTCTCAACAGCATAACAACATGTAATTCCTTTCCATACATTCATATAAATGTACATGGAAAATTGAGATGACTGTTGTACAATCATTTAATCTTCATGTGACAAGCGTCATTTTTGTCAATGAATAACTTTTTTATATTATCAGAGTTCACTGGCTGGTCATGCCAATGTTCATATTTAGAAATCCAGCTCAACTTTATTGTGCAAAAGAAATATACTGTAAGTCACAATCAGTAGGTGGGAACATGACATTTGCTAATAAGATGCCTAAATAAAGCTAACAGAACTGTATGAGTGAACTGTAATCACTCAGTACCCCCTATATGGAGACAGAGGGTTACATCTAAATTGTAGTGGACTCTTTTGAGGACTTCCCCATTTTGACTGAAGACGATGTATGTCAACTCACTTTTGGTGTATATCATAGCAAACCAATCTAAAAGATACACAGACGATACACAGGGATTAGGGCTGTAGGCACAAGGGGTATAAAAGCAAAAAGAAATGCCCAAAGTTTAACATTTTAAGGTCAGGGTGCACTTCGATGAAATTTCATGACGATGTGCTATTTTCAGATAAACATAACTCATTCACACATCATCTACATCTTTCATTCTTGCACAAAATATGCATTAGTGTACCTAGACTACCTAGACTATTGAGGGTTGATAATTCTTCAGAATGTTTGAATATCTAGAATATTCAGTGGTTTACTTTTCAAAATTGCAAAAATATTCCAAAGTGCACCCTGACCTTAAAATCAAAAGATATGTCTGAAATGTTGTCATCTGAAGAAGATGATGATAGCTCATAGTCTCCTTTTATAATAAACAAACACACAAATGTGCTCATCTACAGAAGTACAACAGTTATGTAGAGTCCAGAGTAACCTTTTAGAAATTGTTATATTTTATGTGTTTTCAAATGTTGCTCTTTGTGCTTCCTCACCGTGATGTGAAGTCATAAATTCAGTATTTTACTGCCACTTCAATATAAACTGATTATGAGGAATTGATCTCAAGGAAGCAGATCAATATATAATTGATTGATATGCATTTTTGACTTGTTAATTACTTCATGTGTTTTTTAGTGTTGCTCCTTGTTCTTTCTCATTGTGATGTTAATTAAAAAACTCAATATTCTTTTCTGAGTTGATATTCTTTCAAACTTTTTTGTAGACGATCTCGATGAAGTATAAAGAAGATCACTCTTCAATATTTTTTTGGCATTTTTGACTTGCTATATTTTATGTATTTTCGAATGTTGCCCATTATGCTTTGTCACTATTATGTAAGATAATACCAAGAGGATCAATAAAAAAGTCTTAAATGACTGTAAATTATGATTATTTTGATAATAAGTAGAAACAGTGACAATAATGATGTGAAAAGAGTGATTTTTCCTTCAAAAGGTCATTTTATACATGTTAATAAAATGACCTATATTTTGAAATATAAAGGTCAGAATGATCTAATTTTTGGATCTAGTTATCAAACAAAGTCTCTTCTTTGATATCCTGTACAATTTCTTCTAAATATCTTGGGGACTATTATAGGGTCTTAAAGACACTCATCCTTTGAGTTTGAGAACTTGTAATCTTTTTGCCTCAGGTAAAAAAAACTTTGGGTAGAGAATGTATGTAAACCACTACAGCAAGCAGGATATTTCACCTTCTACTTTACCTTCTTCAATAGCGACAAAGGTCATCAACCGACTCTTTCTTTATAAATGATATGATGCGTACAATTGGCAGCATTTTAAAAACGAGAAGTCGTTTTAAATAACATACTTGTGATCATAGGTGATAAGGTTTACCCCAGATGGGGCATAGTCCCACTCCTCTTCTACACTAGCGATGTAGTAGACTCTGTCTGTGCCCTCTGACAACGCACTCAACACAGCTACACAGAGGAGTACAGTGATTCTCATGTCGTCATTTTAGTCCAAATCGCTTCATGTTCGCAATCAGAGAATATACACCACGGGTCTACCTGGAATGTATATGAGATTTGGACATGTTGTCATTCTCCTATGGCATATGCCCGAGATAATCATGTTGCAATGTGGACCGTCCTTGGAGGCCCATACTAGGATGAAGAAAACATATCCTGATATCGGGTACACTCGGATATCACAACAATTTTTGTTTCAAGTTGTTCGCCAGGCGAGAACAGACCAGCAATCTACTGATCTATGATCAATCCAGGCCTTACACCAACACGTCCACCATTTTATAGCATTCATGTAGTAGGGATCTTCACTTCCATGGTACGATTAAATATCCGAAATGCTTTCTGTGTCCAAGTAGACTGGCCCATTGTAGAGCAAGTTATTCAGTCCGGAACTCACACATGACAACAACAGACTAAGCCTAACCTTAAAAGGCAAAGCTACGTGTACTAAAATAAAATATTAAGTGCTAATCTTACTTGTGTCATCTCCGCCGTAATCTCGTATAGCTATATTAAATAATAGCCTATAACGAATTTGTCACGTACCTTTATCTCGTCTCCTATCAATTTTGTTTTGATTAATCCTACGCACGAAGCAGCATGAATACATTGTGTATTTACTCATCTGCCTATACTTGATATAAGTAGGATCGGAACTATAAACGTTATAAATGAAATCAATAGACGATATTGATATACCTACACATGTCAAGTCAATTCAATTTGCAATTGTTCAACAACAATAATAATATCATAATCGTCATACATTATGGTAATAATTGGATAAAATGTGCAATTCATTAGAGTCGGAACAATTTTTATTCATGATCTATCTAGAAAAACAAGCTAATGGATGCGACAGCTTTTTATCAAGACATCTTAGAATTTTGGTTTAGGACTCTTGAACTGTGGACGATTTTAAGCGCGATGGTTTTGTACGAGACTTTGAAGCAGATGTAGAAATGCAGTAGCCCGAATTCAAGCACTGGCATACAAGAGAAAAGACTGATTTAAATCATCTACAACTCATTGCCCAATTTACACTACGCGCACCATTCCAAGACGTTTTGGCTAAACGTTTTAGAAAAATTAAGTTGAGTTTACATTACCATTTTCAAGACGTCTTAGGAAATAAGATCGAGTTTACACCTGTTTTCCTAAAACCTCTTAGAGATATGTAGGTAATAGGTATACATGTAAAATTAAATAAGCAGTTCAGTACTGATTGAAGGACGGTTCAGTCAATATAGTTATTCCCTTACCGCTTCTATACTTTGTACCGACTTTGTACTAAAGAATGCATCGGTTTCAGAAAAATATGTCCTGAAGACAGCATTGTTAAAATCTTGAAAGAGAGCAGGAAGATTTTATGCATAAATTAGGATTATGATAAATCGCCAGGCAAATAAGTTCTTCTCAATAATTTTGGGATGATATTGGGAACAAGGGATAAGATAAAATAAAGGACCATGTGACATATGTAAATGTAAAGTTTCAAATGTTTCGTTCGACGCAACGCAAAAACCGGGCTAAGAGCTCTTAGCTAAAACCGATGGATTTACATTCGCTTGTAAAACGTTTTCACGCTTAGACGTCTTGGCTATGACTAGGGTCCGAAAACGTTTTAGCTAAGCGCTCTTAGTAGTCGAGAGCTCTTGAGTAAATCTGGATTTACATTACATTTGTATAACGTTTTAACGCTAAAACGTTTTAGCTAAGACGTCTAGCGCGCTAGTGTAAATCCAACAATGAGTCATGTGGTAATTAAAGGGAGACGTGTACGTTTGGAATTTTTATGCAGTCCTAGTTAGAGTCGTCACATGTTATTTTCAGGAATACATAACTCATTCCATACGGTACATCTTTCATTTGCAAAAAAGTACATTAAGGTACCTAGAAAAGAGTGTGGTGAATAATTTTCTGAATAAAATTTATAAAAAGGGAAAAATAAAGTGACCTGCTTATTTTGTACTTTTAAAAAGTAGGTCAATGATTTTTTTCATTTTTCATACATTTACAAAAACAAAATGTTCTATGCACTCTTTTCCAGGTACATTGGTGCACTACATTTATGTGTGCACAACTGAAAGATGTAGACAAGGTGGACGATTCTCGGTTTGGAGAACAGTCTCCTGGGCTAATAATTTTTTTCATGAAAAATATAGAAATATTACCCAAATTAAACTATGAATATTCAAAAGAGGACATTTAAATCTACAAGATGTAAAAATAACAAATTGGTCTGAAGCAGGGGTAACGCTCAATTATACCGATTCAATAAAATACAAGTCTCGATTTGGGGAAAGAAGTTCATCAGTGTACTGCGCTAATATTTTTTTGCGAAAAATCTAGAAAGATTACCCAGATTAAATTATGACTATTATATATCTTTTATTGACTCTCTGATGTCATTACAATGACATATTAGTCACTAAAAACTACAATCTACAAAACTGACCTAAGACTAAACTAACTATTGAATACAAAAATAAAGTTGTTGTCAAATACAATTCTAATTACATCATCAAATGTAAAATACAGAATACAAGATAATTGTAAAATACAAATATAACTTGACAGAAATTTAAATATCAGTGTGATGCATCGTTGACACATTAATCCAATTTTTTGAGTGAATGATAGATGAACTTTGCTAAATGTAAAATTACATAAGAATTTTTGTGAGACATTAGTTTTTTAAAAATAATGTCAGGACTGCCTACAAAATTAAATCGTGTAAGGGTGTCAAACAAAATTTTTCTTTCTGTAGTGTTTTTCTTACAAATCATGATGAAGTGTTGTTCATCTTCTAAAATACCACAAATATTACATAAACGTTCATCTACAGGTTTTGGCTTTGGCTTTAAATGACGACCAAGTTCTATATGTAACTTGTGGGAACTAAGCCTAAATCTACAAATTGCTTGCCTGTAATTTTTATTTTGGATATTTAAATAACTCTCTCTTTCAAAGACATTTTTGAATTTAACATAAGTTCTCAAGACAGGGTAATTTAATATATCTTTGTTCCATTGAGTTTTATAATTCTGATACAGTGTTTTTGTTATTGTCTTGATAAAAATATTGTCATCATCAATCTTTTGAGTATCCCAATAAGATAATAAATCACACTTTTTTAAAATATCAATGACTTTGTTTGACCAAGTGCCTTTAAAACCAAATTGACTCATTTCACGGTCATATATATATGTTTTATGAAGAATGTTTCAAAAGAAAACATTCAAATCTATATTATGTAAAAAAATCAAATTTGTCCGAAGCAGGGAAAATGCTCATTTAGATTGATGAACTTCCTTCTCCAAACCGAGAATCGTCCCTTGAGTCAAATATTATTCGGTAAGTCTGTACACTATTGGAAATATTTCGCAACTCACTTATAGCGAAACTTATTATTTCCGTATAACGTATAAGTATAGGGAGTTTAAGATTAGCGTAAATATCCCACTTACCTATACCTATACGTAGTTTGTTATTGCACTAAGCGGGATTTTACCTAAGTTACAGGGTTTGCGATACGTATTTACCTATAAATGGCCGAAGATAGGTAATTCAAATACGTATGTTTTTTTCCCAAATACTATGTGACTTGTAGATCAAATAGCATTCAATAAACTTTAATTTAGTTATAACAAACATTTATTATTCGATCTGCATAGAAATTAGGTGGTCGAACAAAACCATTGATGCGATAAACGATGCCATGTGATGATGCATAAAATTGTTGAATTTAGACATTTTTCATCAATTTCTGTTTTGCTCACTGTGAATGAAGATAATTGCTCATTTTGTTTTATTTGTTTAATTTTACTATTTTGTCATTCTCATTGCTGGGTTATGCTAGAAATTAACATTTCGCCTTGAGTCACTGCCCCATTAGCAACACGTACTCCCTCCCATTACAGTAGCTTCACCACGCCCCCTCTCTCTGAAGTAAAACAGTTCTTGGTGGTGGCATATACTGGCGAACAAACGCCAAACTCACCACCGCAAGGGTTTTACCCCAAATTAGCATGTCATTTTTATCATAAATTGTTGAATACGATTTTGTAGCCTTTTGCGTTAATCTTAAACTCATTTTACAAAGCTCATTACCTATACGTATCCCTAACAAACATACGGATAGGGATAGGTATACGTATATTTTTACGCTCATCTTAACCTCCCTATTATATATAACTCTACGTCCATAAGTGTGATATTCTTACGTATGGACGACGATTTATAAGAGTATCACTCTTATGGACGTATAGAGCTGCGCAATAAACGATGACGTAATTAAACGCTTCATAAGTTATACATATACGGGAATAATAAGTGAGTTGCGTAATCTCTCTATTTGCAGATTTCATTTTCACTATTTCGACTAGTAAAAACGAGTAAAAAATCTGCATTAATGTTATTTACAGCTTTTGGCGAGGCAGTTTCCTCGTGCGTGTTGCTTTAAGTTGTGTCGTGACACTCGATTTATACAACACTGCTTTACTCACCTTATAAATCGTATAGTAAAATAAATGGGTAATCCTGTACTCAGTTCCCGGTTCAGTTAAAAACCTTCACAAAATAAGTGTATGTTAAGGCTGCCACGTGTTCAATTGTAGAAGTAATTTCTTAGAATGTTCCTTCTTACCTTTTGAAGATTTTAGGATTAGTAGTATCCTGTAATTTTAGATGTCGTCTTGCTATTTTGGGGTAAACAAATAACGAGCCTGATCACCTCGTGATTTTCCTCAAATCCTGATAAACAGACAAAAATGTAAAAGTTGAAATGTTAACGAAGAAATAAAGAACCCATAAATAAACTAGAAATCGGCAACTGCACGGAGTAGCAAATCCAACCATCTACTCTTATACCGTACCAGGACTATAGTCCTGTATCGAGCGCATTCTATTGCCTGTACGATTACAACTTGGGAGAATTATCTACGCCCTTTACACTTAAGATACCTACCTCAATGCATTATAGAACTCAAAATGTAACTTCTAATATATTTGAACCGCCGATTGTCTGGGTATATCGGCAGAACAGGAACACTTTTCCTTTTCATCGAGGGAGATTCCATCACTTTTCAAG